CCAACGCAGCCAAAAATAAATAAATAAATTTATATATATAAAAAAAAGAGGCTACAGGGATGTATTGTACGGCACGGGGAACAGAGCCAATCTTTTGTGATCACTGTAAATGGGGGATAACCTTTAAACATTATGAATTGTTTTGTTGTACACCTATAACTTATATGTTTTATATCAACTATACTGCGATTAAAAAATAAATTTAAAAAAAGGGAGCATTGCTAAGGAAGACATTAGCGCTTTCATATTAAACCCACTAAGGATGGTGGCCCATGAGGACCCCATGCTGACGCCCACGTCAAAGGCCAGAGAGAATAAAAGAGTAAAAGATAATCCAGGATGGTAGCAGGACTGGAGGTAGGCTCCAGCGTGGACAGACCCGATCTGCGTCCTGGCTCTGCCCCTGATGAATGCCGGTGGCTCTGGGCGGGTTCCTTATCCTCTACCCTCAGCCTCCTGATCTCTCGAACAGGGCCATCATCATGCCTCCTGAATAGGAAGGACTGGAGAAGTAAGTGAAATGTCAGGCACAGAAACTTTACTCCCCGGAGTACCAGGTACAAGCTGGTGAGAAGTCTTGTGTGAGCGCTTAGCTTTTCTTGGAAGTGTGGTTTACTTTTAAACCATGTTGTTGCTGGGGCATTAAAGTTGTATAAGGAATAAGATGTACACGCAGTTGAGTTACTAAAGAAATATAATTATACGTAAAAGGTCCAGTAGCTCTGTCTCTCAGGCCTGAAAGAATGCTATCTTCTGGTGTTCAAACAGGTCCCCTGGGGCACCCAGTGCCGCCAATTCTAGGGACAGGGATGGGCGGAAGGGAACTCACGGACTCCAAAGGACTGTCTTTGCCTCCCTTATTCTCAAACAGAGATAGAAGGAATTTCGTGGCAGTCCAGTGGTTAGGACTCCACGCTTCCACTGCAGGGGGCACGAGTTCGATCTCTCGTGTCGGGTAATTAAGATCCTGCATGCCACGCGGCGCACCCCCCTCCCCCAAAATGAGTACCTGTTAAAACAGAGGTAGAGACATCTCAGTAGCAATGGAAAAAAAAAAAAAAAAAAACACCTGTCTAGAAACCACCATCCTGATCATTTATTTTGAGCTTATACTGCATGCTGGGGTGCCCACTGGTTCCCCTCCCCGCCAAACACACACAAACCTACTTCCCTAAGTGTTGAAAACACACACAAGGTGTTAAACATTTTTTCAAGTTTTCTGAGATGCAACTGATAGCTATCAACAAGCACTGGCTTGGAATTTACCCCTGGGTCATTCTGCATACTTTTTTCCATGTGAAACCAAATTGAGGAAACATATTTAAACAATCTGAATTTATATCCTGCTTGAAATTCACGCTGTGGGGCTTAAACAAGACTGGATCCTTTACCCACCCCTTAGCTGCAAAAATACTATTTATTTTTCTTGCAAATGGACCATATATGAGGGTAAAACAAATGTCTTTCTGTCTTGAGATGTGTATATGTAACTTTTTTTTTTTTCCTGGCGAAACGCTCAAAAGCCAAACATCTAACAGAATGACTGATATCACCCTTGCCTGAAACAAACAACAACAAAAACCCTTTACCTCCTATATAGCACAGGGAACTCAATACTCTGTAATGGCCTATATGGGGAAAGAATCTAAAAAAGAGTGGATATACATATATGTGTAACTGATTCACTTTGCTGTACCCCTGAAACTAACACAACGTTGTAAATTAACTAGACTCCAATAAAAATGAAAAACAAACAAACACCTTTACTTCTCATCAAGCAGAAATCAACAGCTCTGTATTCTAGCCCCAATTTGGCCATGACCTAGCTGGGGGACTGTGGGAATTCTCTCCAGCTCTCTGTTCAGAGGACCGTTCAGTGGGCTCAAGGGTGGGAGAGGAGTTGGTTTGAAACACCATCCAAACCCTGTGACTCTAAAACCCTATGACTCCAGGCCAAAACATGGGTAAACAATTACAAGATCTTGTTCTGAAAAAGTTTAATATTTACTTAAAACAGGGTTGCTGAGAAGTCTTTTCTGTAACGCCCTCTTCAAAGAAAAACCCCTAATTTCCAATTCTGACCTGAGGCGGGGGTCTTTGTTGTTTTTCTCATCAATCCCTTTAATGTAGTAACATCCCCACCTGCTGGAGCTTTAGGCTTTCGCTGCTAAAGGTGGGAGGTGTTTGGTAAAGGTTCCAGGCCTTAGGTGCAAGCTGGGCTCCCAGAGGAGGATGCCTCCTCCACTATATCCTTTTTTGAAGGAGGGTGGAGCCCTGCGCTGAGAACTCCTTCTTCCCACCCATTGGATCTCACGGTGGGGCTGCCCTGGGCCCAGGGAATGACTAAGAACCCCCCAGAAGCGGGCACTCAGCCTGGGTCAGAATTTCCACACTTTTCTGAAAGATGATCCCTGGCTCCCTCTTCAGAATCTCAGTCCCAGGGATCCAGTGAAGGCCTCTGGGACCAGAGTTCCTTAGAAACCTAACCAGGAGTCTGACTACAGTGTGGGTTTGGCATAAGCAGAGGCAGGCCAGAGGGTGGAGGCCATGGGAAGGCCCAGGTCTCAGCCCTGAATTGCTTCAGCGGCCCCCCTTCAGCCTTAGGCCCTTCCATCCATATCTCCAAGTGGAGGCATCTCTAGGGGGTTTAAGGAGCCCAACCCTCCTCTTCAAGACCAGGGGCCTGAGCTCTCATTCCAGAATCAGAGAAGGCCGAGGCCTGGGTTTTCCGTCCGGCCTCTGCCTTGAGTGTCTCCTCTCCCCATTCCAGGTCTCTGCGAGTGGGAGATGGATGGATGGCCGTCCAGCCTGGTGGTTCTGCGATCCCCATATGTGTCCCTTGTGCCTCCCACGCTGTGTACGGCCGCCCGTTGATGGGGCCGTCCCTGTCCCCACTTTCCAGCTCCATCACCAATGGAGACATTTTGGGGTCTTGTCAGGGGGCTGTTACAGCATCTTCAGGGCAGTCCGCGAGGAGGGGCCATCCAGAGCTGACACGGGCCTCTTGCGGTGCAGTCAATAGGCTCCGGGGTCAAGTGGATTAGCTGCCCTTCCCCAGGCTCCCCACCCGTGCCTGGGGGAGCGCCCCCAGGTGGCTCAGCTCCCACCCCCCGCATCCCCCCCCCCCCCCCGCCACGCACACACAGCGCCCCTAGCCTCAGAGCCCAATCCCAGTGCAAAGCCCACCCAGCTGAGCCCACAGAGGCAAGGTAAACAGTGACGCGAGCATCCCTGGGGTGAATGGTGACTAACCACCATCACCTCTCCCAGGCTCGGCGAGCTCAGACCACACCATCCTCTCGAGACAGCTGGAGAACAGCTGTCAGAGAGTCCTGACAAGCACCCCTGGGTACGCGGGCAGTGTTTCTGATTCCCCTCTCAGAGGTTACCTTTCCACAGTCCCTCCCTTCCTGCCAGCCCGTCAGGAGTTATTTATTTCACACAGCTAAATGCCACGGTCCTTCTCGGCCGCCTTGGCAGCATTCCGTCAGAAGCAAGTCAACCAATGCAGCAGAAGGCAGCATTCAGGAGTCAGATCTCTCACAGACATCCTAGATCGGATCTAGACCCCCTTCCTTTGCCTTCGACATTTTCTTTTGGCTCCTGCAGCGTCCCGCAGATCTCATCTAGCCGGGTCGCTCCCAGTTAAGCCCTTGGCTATCCTTGGAAGGGACTCTCCGTAATGCTAGACAGACTGCGAAGCACATAGACTGCTTTGTGGATCACAGCATCTAAGGTAAGGTGGGCGTGTGGAGTCCAGGGTAGACACAGGCGCACCTCCTCCTCAGGTACACCCATCACTTTAGAGCGACAGAGAGCTGCCACCTACACTTTTCCTGGTTGATCCTTAATCACTGCCCCGGGAAAGCAAAGGGTAGAGGAAGTAGGAGGCAAGTTAAAGTTTCAGGGACCTTGGAGAAGGGCATTATTCAACAGCAAGGTCTCCTGGTCCTGCATGGCTGGGATGGAAATGTCATTTTAAGGACCCACTGAAACCGAAGATCAGCCTTCGAGAAGCCCTCAATCTGGGTCCAAAGTGTGCATCCACAGGGGTATCTGTCCCTTGCCCCAGGCCCAGCCTTCTTAGGCAGCCCCACACCAGGGCCCAGATGCCCTAGAAGTGGGTAAACTGCTTGAGCCTTCACCCAGATGGCAGCATTTCAGAGCCCAACAGATACTCTATGGTGGTATTTTTTTGAGTCTTGGCTGGGAGACTCTATTCACTGAAACTTGGCTGGGAGGCTCGCTCTTTTCTGGCGCTCTCTCCAAGGTTCTACGTGTAGACCTTTGTGGGGGAAATAAACCCTGGAAAAGAGTGTCATAACTAGATAAGCTGGCTTCCCTTGTAAACATTTTAGGAAGGACCCTCGTCGGAAAGACGCCCATTCCTGGCCTCGGTGGTCTTCCAGATAATGAGATTTCCAGCACCACTGCTCAGTTAGTGGCAGAGGAGGAAAACAGACAGGATTCTGCTTCGCCTCTACACCTTTCCCCATGAGGTCTTGCTGAATATTAACAAGGTCGGTAACTGAATTTTAGCAAGCATCTCCAATGATGTAAGTCTGTCTAAATTGGTGTATTACATAGGATAATAATAACAAACACTTACTGAGTCCTAACCACGTGTCCTAACCACCTGTTACATGGATTAACTCATTTAATTCTCTACAATGACTCTATGACATAAGAATGCTTCTTCTCCCCATTCTATAGATGAGAAAACTGAGGCACACATTGCATAGGGAGGCGGCCGGAAGGGAGCCCATGCAGGCTGCCTCCAGTCCCTCCCACACAACCACTGGGTTTATACCATGTCTGGAAATGTGGCCTGTGCCCCTGGGGTATAATTCTCTCTTGCTGGATCAACTGAGCCCTGGAGTGGACAGGGAGCTCCTTTGACACTGGAGCCCCAGCCTCCAGCCACCGAAACTTGGGTTGCTTGGGCAACAGCTACACCTGTGCTGACACAGAATTCAGTGACCCCAACAGAATTTCCTTACTGGCATCCCCTGTTCTGTCTCCTTTCTCTCCTTTCTCTCCTTTTGGGCCTCGGTCACCTGAAACAGAGGAGGAAAAGGGGCATTAGAAATGGAAATAAATCCTAATTGTAAATAAAGTCTTACCTGCAGGAAACATTAACCCAAGACCAGAGAAATCCTCAGGGAGGAGTCCGCAGCCCTGGAGGGCATGCATGGCTGAAAGGGTAAGAGCTTGGGCCAATTATGTTGCCTACTCTGGTCCCCCTTGGAAGCAGGGTGGGTGGGCACCAAGCAGAGAAGTTTCATTCCCTCCTAACTAAAGCACAGAGGAGCAGCGCAGCACAGACTAAAGGAGTACATGGTATCCCACAGGAAGAAGACAAAGCAAAGATATTCCTATTAAACAGCCAAAGTTTCAGAAGTCCAAATCCAAGGTTGTTCTAATAAGCACGGAAAGAGAAAAGGCGGGGAGGGTCTTCAGTTACAAAGGGAGACACATAGGTTCTATGTCAGGCAGATTTATCAGTGGAGGAGGCTATAAAACACGGGGGAGAGTTTCCAGGGAATTGTGGAATTTCCTTCCCAGGATATGGTTAAAACAACACAGCTTTTTTCTCAGCTAGCATCCCACTCTACAAAGAAGTAGATGGGTCCTGACACCACTCAAGGGGACATTAAAATGACCAGGGAATTCCATCCAATTGCCTCCAGAAAGATATCTGCAAATCAAAAGCTTATGGCATATTCTCTCATGAAAAAAAAGCAAGCCAGCAAGTTCCAGGGGAGGATGCCTCATGTGTTCCAAGTTTTGAAAAAAACAAAAGCAAACATATATGTAAATATGAATGTGCTTGGAAAAGGGTCTGGCAGGATGTGCTCCAAAGTGTTTACAGTAGTTATTCTGAAGAATAAGCCCTTAAGAGACCTAGGGGGAAGGCACTCACTTTTTACTTTATACTTTATACATTTCTGTATTGTTAAGTTGTTTTCAATAAGCATGTGCTGCTTTTGTAATGTGTTTTAAAATCGATTTTTTTAAACGTGGATCATAAAAGGAAGGAAAACCTCAGTCTGTTTAATCACCAACCAGAAAGTAGAATAAAAGTTCCCAGTGATCCTAGATTAAGAGGTCATCCTAGATGTGGGGTGGGAATGATTAATAGTACTTTTCTTTTTCTTAGTTTTCATTTTAACAAGTGAGAGCGCCTGGGGAAAGAGTATCCGAGTTCCTCTTTTTCTTCTGCAATGGTGTTAAGAGGTCTGGACACTCTTGAAATGAACGTGGAAAGACGGGACTGACTCTCAAGTGGGATTCCCTGAAAATGAACAAGATGACTTGTTCATTATTAATGGGAAGGAAAAAAAGTCAGAAGAAACACTATTGGCAATGGAAATCTGAGGACTGATTAAAGTTTTAAATATTTGGGGAATAAAAAGAATATGAGGAACTGTGAGGAATCTGGCAGTATTGGGGGGAGGAGGCCATCCTGGGTCTGTGTTTCTCCTGCAAGCCCGCTCTCCTGGCCTGGCTTCCTCCGGTTACATCACCGAGCTGCAACCAATAGTAACACTCCCTTGCATTTCTACAGCGCTTTGGAGTTTACCGTGTTTTCACTCATATACGTTCCACGTAATCCTCGTGACAGCCCTGTGAAATATGGTATCACGAGGCTTGTTAGTTTGGGAATGAGGAAACTGACGCTTAATGGTAATTCCCTGGGCAGTCCGGTGGTTAGGACACGCGCTTCCACTGCAGGGGGTGCGAGTTCCATCCCTGGTCGGGGGAGCTAAGATCCCGCAAGCCCTGCGGTGCAGCCAAAAAGAAAAAAAAAAGAAAGAAAAGAAAACAAACTGATGCCTAATGAGATCAAGTGACTTGCTCAAGGTCACTCAGCTTGTCAGTGGAAGAACTAGAATTTGAACCCGGTCCACACCCCAGTGCCCACATTGGTGTGCAGGGGCTGGCGGTGAGCGAGGGTGAGCTGAGATGCGTTGTTACCTTTGAACCCACGCATGCCCATCGGTCCCATGGCTCCCAGCTTCCCTTCGTCGCCCTTGGGGCCGGGCAGTCCTGGGGTCCCTCTCTCCCCTGGCAGACCTGGGGAGACAAGAAAGTTTTGGAGCCTCAGACTCAGAACTGGAAGGGCCCCCAGAGGCCATCGTCTGGCTCAGCCACGGACCTCAACCATGCATCCTCCTGCTATCCCTGCTTCCTGATTCTTCTGAGTTAAAGATGCTACAAAGACAGTGTCCAAAAGGTCAGCACAAACCCTCCCCGTCAGCACCTTTTATCCAGTGAGGCTGAACCCCTCCCCCCGAAATGTCCAATTCTATTGTGAGTGATGGTGGAGGTGCCAACCTCATTCGGAAGCTGTCTCTGTACCTCTAGCTTTGCTAGAGATTTAGACTTGCAAAATTTTTTGGAGCCTTTTGAACGTGGCAGGCACTGTTCTGGGTGCTTTCCATTACGTATCTTATTTAATCCTCCCCATAAACTGAGGTATTATTTCACCTGTGTTACCAATGAGAAAACTGAGGCCCAGAGAGGTTAGGTAACCTGCCCATGGTCACACAGCAGAGAGCGCTGGAGGCAGGGTCCTATCCCTGCTTGGTCGGCTTCATCTCAGCTGGATGAAAAGGGCTTACTGGTACTTGGGGTAGGAGGAAGGTTAAATCACTCCCCATCCTATGTAAGAAAAAACCAGCAAGGTCCCTTCCTTGTGGTAAACACAGGGAAGCGTAGAGCAGGGGAAGGTAGGCTGAAGAGGAGGCAGGAAGTCTGCAAGCTCAGTAACTGGGGCAGACAGGCTGCTGTCACATCAGTCCCCAGGGCTCCTGGCCACAAGGCCCCGTGGCACTGGCTGCACGTCACCATGGAAAGCCGGAGTCAACAAGTGGTTTCACCCAGTGAGGCCTCGGCCCTGGAGGTCTGACCTAAGTCCACAGTTATCTCTGCAAAGCAGGGCACTCTGATTAACTAATTAATTTTACTTTCCTGCTTCGAATGTTAGTTGGTTTCCTTTGGCCTTTTTCTATGACACGGAGAAATCTGTCTCGCACTTATGATTCCTCCGCCGTAAACATCAAACGGCTGGAAGAGGATGGGGGCCCCAAGAGGGTGACAGCACCTCAGACGAGGGCCTGATTTATTTTTTTCCCTAACGCAACATTCCTGGAGCCCAACAGCCCTGCTGCCACGGCATTCTGTGTCTCCTGCAGGATATGCCCAGGAATCCTGCATCCTGTCACTGACTAAGGCAGAAAAGGAGGTTCCACAGCTCTGGGAGCCCCTGGGCATCCTTGATTCTGAGTTTAGGGAGCTGTGCTGAGAGGTGGAGGCCAGGCCGTGGGTTCTGCCTCAACCAGCCTCTGCCTCTTCTCCTGTTCTCAGCCTCCTTAGAGACTTAGGAAGGGGGTGGTTTGGAGGTATAATTCCTGACATAAATAAGCCGACACCTTTCCCCTGATAAACCTCCCCTTTTCTTACATCACTTAGAAGACTCTACACTCCCTTAGAAAAACGCTGCTCACAGCAGAGGCTGGGGAATGGACAGGCTGGGATGCAAAATTTGGTAAAGTAACAGAACGGGAACTCCTGAGACGAGGCATTTAAAACGAACACACCCTTTCCAGAAGGCCCCAAAGTACCCTCCCTGCCAGCTCTTGGACCCTCCGGGCTGTCACTAGTGCATGTAGCAGGGTGGAGACGGCATGAGAGGGCAGGTATCTACTGACCGGGGCAGGTTCTGCAGGAGGTAGGGGGTCAGGGGCTGGGGACTCAGGAAACACTGAGGGGACACAGCATACTTGATGGGTTGCTCTGGATTAGGGGACACCCTCAATACCTTCCAATGGCCCTGGTCACAGGGACCCTGGCTGCTGGGGTGGGGAGTGGCTTCAAGGAGTTGCGAGCCTCGTGTGTACCCTTTTTCTTCAGGTCCTGGTACTCTCTATGGAAAAAGATTTGCTCCATCCTACTGTTATACCAATAACCTCTTAGTCTCTTAACAGAACAGGGCATCTGAAGCTGAGTTGATTGGGCCCTGTCCCAGGAGCCCCATCACCGATCCCAAAGAGAAAATAGAGGGTCAGGGATGGATAGCAGAGCCCCTTCCCTTCCTGGTATGTCCAGTGCCCTCCCAGGGGCCTCCCCATTACCTCGAAGTCCAGGTAATCCAGGGGTTCCAGGCTTGCCTTCTTTCCCTTCATCCCCCTGATCGCCTTTGGGGCCCGGTGGTCCTGAAAGGGTTGCAAACAGCACTGAGGTTAGAGGATGGCTTTCTGGAGTAGGTCACCTGTGGAGGAAACTCCCTCCTAAAAAGAGGAAGGGTCAGCATTATGCTTTATGCTTTGGATAAACACAGGGCTCCATCTAGTCCAGCCGTGTGTGTGCGTGTGTGTGCGTGTGTGTGTGTGCGTGTGTGTGTGCGTGTGTGTGTGTGTGCTTGCACTGGGGAGGTAGGAATCAGGGAAAGCTTCCCGGAAGAAGTAACATCCAAAGTGAAATTGCAAGGAGGAACAGAAGGCGGCTAAGTAAAGAGAGGAGTGGGAGTGTGTTATGGACTGAATGTCTATGGCTCCCCTAACCCAACACCAAATGCATATGTTGAAGCCCTAACGTCCAACGTGCTGGTATTGGAGATGGGGCCTTTTTGGGAGATGATTAGGTTTAGATGAAGTCATGAGAGTGGGGCCCCCATGATGGGATTAGCGCCCTTCTAAGAAGAGACCCCAGAGAGCACTCTTCCTCCCTCCCTTCCTCACGCTGGTACCGATGAGCATGCTTTCTCTGCCATAGGGGGGCACGGCAAGAAGACAGCCATCTGCAGCCAGGAAGAAGGCTCTCATCTGAACCCAACCCTGATCTCAGACTTCTGGCCTCCAGAACTGTGAGAAAGGAATGCTGTGTAAGCCACCCAGTCTGTGGTATTGTTGTAACAGCCTTAACTAAGAGGAAAAGGAGAAAGTTCCAGGCGGAGGGAACAATCCCTATAAGAGCTTAAAGATAAGAAAGAGATCTGTGAGTCATGATGGGATTAGAAACTGGGGGTGGGGGTCCCATGATGGGATAAGAAGGGTGAGAAAGTGGAGGGTCCTGGAGGCCTGGTGTAAGTGTGTTGAATTTGACTCTGAGGGCACCAGAAGCCACAGAAGGGGCCTGAGAGAACAGTGTGGTCATATCTGCACACGAGGAAGACTGCTCAGGCTGCAGTGTTGGAAAGGGATTGGAACAGAGGGAAAGCAGAGGCAGGGAGGTCAAGGAGGAGGCTGCACCCCAGGTGCGAGGTGGCGGAGCCCTGTATTAGGGATGTAGCCGTGGGGAGGGATGTGAGTAGCTGTTAGGAAGTAGAAGAGACAAGAGACAGACCTTGGCTAAACTAGGTGAAGGCAGGGGAGGCAGCCAGGATCAGGTTCAGATCTCTGGCTTGAGCACCTGGATGGAAGAAGAGGTTTCTAATTGCTGCTTAGCGGGGCTTCCTTCCTGGGTGAGGGTCCAGCATCACGGCAGGGATTCTAGCTTGTGTGATCAGATTCAGTCCCCACATGCTGGGTGTTGAGACTACACAGCCAACTAGCGAGTGAGGGAGCCGTGGTTTCAACTCAGGTCTGCCTGGCCCCGCCCACCCTGCCCTGCTCCTCATGTAGACCTCCTGCCATTCCCAGAATGCACCCGAACCTTCCCGCATGGCAGCCTGCTGTTCCCAGACTGGCGAGCCAGGGGGGCCCTCCTTGCCAATCGCCTATGGCTACCTGCCCCTCAGGGATGCTCATGAGCACCTTCTTGGCCAAACCTTCTCTGATCTATCATTCCTGCTGCAAGTGGGCATGGCCTGTTTGAATGCACATCCTGGGTGCCACTTGACGTTTATCTCACACTGCCTGGTCTTACAGTCACGGGAGTACGTGTTCTCTTTTTCCTAAGAAAATGGCCATCTCCCTGAGACAAGACCACATCCTTGACATCCCCGTACTGGCTGTGAAGATCCAGACTCTAACTTTCCCTGCTCTGGCTGCTCGATGAGAGAAAAAAAAAGGACCAAGGAAAATGCCCAAACTGTATTGCATTGGGTGGAAGTGTGTCCCCTCCAAGTTCACGTCCACCTGGAACCTCAGAATTCGACTTTCTTTGAAAACAGGGTCTTTGCAGATGTAATTAGTTAAAGATGAGGTCCGATTGGAGTAGGGTGGGTCCTTACCCAATGACTGGCATCCTTATAAAAAGAGAAAGCACAGACAGCTGGGCAGAAGGCAAGGTTACCATGGAGGCTGAGACTGGAGTGATGTGTCTACAGGCCAAGGAACGCCATGGATGGCTGGCAACATCAGAAGTCAGAAAGAGGCCGGGAAGGATCCTCCCCTAGACCTTTTGGAGGGAGTATGGCCCTGTGGACACCTTGATTTCAGACTTCTGGCCTCCAGAACTGTGAGAGAATAAACTTCTGTTGTTCTAAGCCACTCAGCTTGTGGTACTTTGTTATGACAGCCCCAGGAAACCAAAGCATGTATACTCGCAGCATAGCAGTCATGTCTTGCACAATAAATATCTGATGAATGAATGAGTATGTGAGATCAGAGGGTGTTAATACACACGAAACAGCCAGGTGGCCAAGATCAAGATGTACTGATACATTCCCCAAGTTGACACTGTCCGCAGACCCTAACCAAAGTTGACAGCTGTTTAAGCATTCAATGGCATGCGTACAGGGAAAAAAGTAATCAACAGTTGAAAAATGCACAAATCATTACACAACGACTCGTGAGTTACACAGATCATTTAAGGGGGACTGGGGTTTGCAGTCATCTTCCTCTTTTCTAGGAAGAAAAGCAAAGTAAGACTGGCCATGGTGACCTCGGTTTTTGGACAACAGGAACGGCTGGGAACACGTCTAAGATTCTAAAGCAAAGAAAGATAGAGTACGGAAGCAAATGAGCTTTAACAATGCCCATTCCAACAATCTCCTGGCCAGGTCAAAGCTGCAGCAAAGGGAGCTGAGAGCGGTTCCTGGATCTCTGTACGTCACGGGCTGTCACTGGGCTGTCACCCTCCCCCTGCCCCCAGTCCACTCCATCCCTTTTCACTCTTCTCCGCTCCCTCCAGGCCTCCCCAGGGGTAACCCAGTGCTCCGGGAATCAAGCAGGTCAAGGATACCATGGACCGTGCCCTCCATTTGTTTTATTCGCTCTGATGTGGGTGTGACCCAACATATGGACCTTCCCGGGAGTAATTCTGGCAAAGGGAGGATGCTGCCCAGTGGCCTGACCCTGATGGTAGGGCATCAAGGTGGCAGAGATCATTTGGAAGGTGAGGTTTGAGGATGGATATGGAAGATCTTAGGTTCAGGTCCCGGTTCCATAAAATCTAAGTAAAAATCCCTTCCTCTGGCGTTTGTAGTGAGGAATAAGCGAATTCAGTGACATGGTGGATATCAACAGGCTTGGGAAGCCTTGAGTGGCAAGGCCAGCCCTGACCATCTGTACCTGACTTTTCGTAATGCTTCATCAGAACTATTTGGAGATGGTTATTCCAGGCTCTGAAATCACCCTTCCAATGCAGGGAGAGCCACATCCAAAAAACATCCTACACATGGAGAGTTTTTACAACAGAACTAAGTGGTTAGTGAAGGCCTTTACTAGAGATTAACTGGGAAGAAGCCGGGGTAGACAGTTAAGGTGGGTGCTGATTTCCAAGCCTTAGTCATGCCCTCAGGTGGTACTGGCCCGGCCGACTCAGAAGAGCCTGGAATGCGGCCAGTCTGAGTCTCATGGGGCCATGCTGCCTGGAGCTCTGAGGATCAAGTGCTCCTTTCAACCACTGCTGCCCATGGGTGATGCACTCTTGGGATCTGACGTTTTGTCATTTTCTCAGGAATCCAGCTTAACAATCTGGAGCTTTCTTGGACTCCTCCCTTTCCTCTGCCCAGCCCCCTTCAAGGCTGTCATCCAGGTGGTTCCCATGTCATGTGTCTCACTCCTTCCTCACTGCCTCCCTCGTTGGCTCCAGTCTCTCTCCAGCCCACTGTTGTTGTCTGATTAATCTCATCAGAATCGAGTGATTCAGAGCCCTTGGAAGCCCCTCACACCATGATGGGCAGCCCCCTCTGTTGGGGACCCCCTGAAAATCATTCCCAACCTGACCCCTTCTTCTGCAAACTCACAGCCTGATGCTTCTCGACACAAACTCTCTTCCACCTCAGCAAAAACGTTCTCCTCGTGGTGTCCCCAAACAAATCTTTTCCTTTCTAAGAGGCCCATCACTCTCATCCCTGAAGCTCACCTTCACACTCACCCCTCCCATCTCTGAGGGCACCAGGGCAGAACCCCCAGATCTCAGAACTGGAAGGACCCTCAGGCATCACCATGTACAGACTGCTCAGGGGAGCACCAGAGCCTGGTCAGGCCAGCCTGTGCCCACACGCCAGCCACGGTCACTCCCCTTGGACTGTGGTCCCCAAGGAGGACAGGGCTATCTAAAGGGCTGGAGCCCCACTCTCTGTGGCCCTGGGCCTCACAGAGCACCTGGCACACAGGAGAGATTTCAAGGAATGACTTCTGGGCAGTCGTGGAAGCTGTTATGGTGTCAGTGGTCCCAGTGGTCCCCAGATGAGCATCATTTTAAATTTTTATTAAAGCATAGTTGATTTACAATGTTGTGTTAATTTCTTCTGTACAGCAAAGTGACTCACTTATATATATATATATATATATATACTCTTTTTCATATGTGGCTTATCACAGGATATTGAATATAGTTCACTGTGTTATACAGTAGAACCTTGTTGTTTATCCATCCTAAATATAATAGTTTGCCTCTGCTAATGCCAAACTCCATCCCTCCCACATCCCCCGCTTGGCAACCACAAGTGTGTTCTCTACAACTGTGAGTCTGGTTTTGTTTCATAGATACGTTGATTTGTATCATATTTCAGATTCCACATATAAGCGATATCTTATGGTATTTGTCTTTCTCTGTCTGACTTACTTCACTTAGTATGATCATCTCGAGGTCCATCCATGTTGCTGCAAATGGCATTATTTCATCTTTTTGATAACTGAGTAATATTCGGATGAGCTTTTAAGCTTCTCAGCTTACGTTATCGTGTCTCACCTTTTCTATCACTGGAGCAGGCCAGGGCAGAGGTGGGCTGGGACAAGGTGAGCAGAGTCCAGTTCTCCTCAATCGTGGAAACAGTCCAGAGCCCCTCCACTGGGCTTCCGGTCCTGGGTGCCAGCCCCTCTCT